CATCGTTGCAGGACGCCAGACCAGGGGAGCCGAGCCACGCAGCGGCGGCGAAATTGAGATGAGGCAGCGTCAGGAAGTGAGGCTCTGCCTTACGGCAACTAGTGTGGGAACTCGAGGTTCGCTTGAAATTGAAACAGGCCCCGAGCGCTTCAGACGGAGTTGAGGCGATGTCTGGCAGATCTCACGTGACCTTGGTGGGGAAAGCGCGCTAGAGACCAGGACGGTTAGGCGGTTAATCCGAATGTTGCGTGGCATATCGAACATTAGCAAGAGCAGCTCACGCAGGCAGCAATACCAAAGATAATAGTCAACACCGTGTTTCTTTCTCCTTACCTTATACCCCTATCCCTTCGCGCCTACCGTCTCTTGCATTGAGGCCACTCTAGACGACGGTGAAGCTGCGGCTTCGTCCCCAATTCCGCCATGGCCTCCTCTCCCTCGATGTTGACCAAGGCAAGCAGCTCTCATCTACGCGACCGTATAGCTAGCTAATTCCGGGCAGTTTGAGTCCAAGTCTTCGCGTGCCAAGGGCATTGCCTTTCACCCCAAGAGGTAGCTCATACCTTCACCTTGCGGCTCCCTTCCCCGCTGACCGCTTCCAGGCCATGGATCCTTGTGTCGCTACACTCGTCGACCATCCAACTATGGGACTACCGCATGGGTACTCTTATAGATCGCTTCGAAGAACACGACGGGCCGGTCCGCGGCGTTGACTTCCACAAGACCCAGCCATTGTGAGCATCCGGTGGACAACTTGGGAGGGCCAGCAACATAATACTGAGACTGCACAGATTCGTGTCTGGCGGCGACGACTACAAGATCAAGGTCTGGTCATACCAGACCCGGCGATGTCTCTTCACATTGAACGGCCATTTGGACTATGTCCGGACCGTCTTCTTTCACCACGAGCTGCCATGGATATTGAGTAGTTCCGACGACCGTAAGCGCATGCTATGGGTTCGATGTGCAATGGCTAACACGAATCAGAGACCATTCGTATATGGAATTGGCAGAATCGTAAGTAACACTGCAGCTACTCACCTGGTACACAACTAACGTTCATAGGATCACTGAGTAAGTCCGTCGCATCCCTCGCAAAGACACACCTAACCCTCCGAAGTATGTACTATGACCGGTCATAACCATTACACCATGTGCGCGCAATTCCACCCGAAGGAAGACCTCATCGTTTCCGCCTCGCTCGATCAGTCGGTTCGCGTTTGGGATATCTCTGGGCTCAGGAAGAAGCACTCGGCACCACAAGCCTTGTCGTTCGAGGACCAGATGGCACGCGCGAACCAGAACCAGGCGGATATGTTCGGAAACACCGATGCTGTTGTCAAGTTCGTCCTCGAAGGCCACGACCGAGGTGTTAACTGGGTCGCATTCCACCCTACACTCCCGTTGATCGTCTCCGCTGGTGACGACCGTCTCGTGAAGTTGTGGAGGATGTCGGAAACAAAGGCATGGGAAGTCGATACCTGCCGAGGGCACTTCCAGAACGCGTCGGCGTGTCTGTTCCACCCACATCAGGACTTGATCCTGTCCGTTGGAGAAGACAAGACGATTCGCGTATGGGATCTCAACAGGCGTACATCGGTCCAGTCCTTCAAACGCGAAAACGATCGCTTCTGGGTCATCGCAGCTCATCCTGAGATCAACCTGTTCGCTGCCGGTCACGACAACGGTGTCATGGTATTCAAGCTGGAACGCGAGCGGCCCGCATCCGCCGTCTACCAGAACAACCTCTTCTACATAACGAAGGAGAAGCACGTACGGTCTTACGACTTCCAGAAGAACATCGAGTCCCCATCGATGCTGTCTCTCAAGAAGCTGGGAAGCGCCTGGGTACCTCCACGAACACTGTCCTACAACCCTGCCGAACGCTCTATACTGGTCACATCTCCAGCCGACAGCGGAACATACGAGCTGATCAGCCTTCCGCGCGACGCTTCGGGAGCGGTAGAACCGACCGACACCAAGCGCGGATCTGGTAGCTCGGCTGTATTCGTGGCCAGGAACCGATTTGCCGTCTTCAACCAGTCTAACCAACAGATCGACATTAAGGATCTCAGCAACTCCACTACCAAGACCATCAAGCCCCCGCATGGAACCACCGACATCTACTTTGGCGGCACTGGCAACTTGCTATTGATCACTCCTACTTCGGTTGTTCTCTACGACATCCAGGCCAAGAAGAACCTTGCTGAGCTCTCTGTCAATGGTGTCAAGTACGTCGTCTGGTCATCAGATGGACTGCACGTCGCATTGCTGAGCAAACACAATGTCACCATTGCGAACAAGAACCTGGAGCAAGTCAGCACTCTGCACGAGACTATCCGGATCAAGAGTGCAATCTTCGACGACACTGGTGTCCTTCTCTACTCCACGCTGAACCATATCAAATACAGTCTGATGAACGGCGACAATGGCATAGTACGCACGTTGGAGCAAACAGTATACCTTGTGAGGGTTAAGGGTCGCAATGTATACTGCCTAGACCGTGCTGCGAAGCCCAAGATCCTTCAAATCGACCCCACCGAATATCGTTTCAAGCTCGCCCTAGTCAAGCGCAATTACGACGAGATGCTCAACATCATCAAGACCTCAAGCCTGGTTGGACAGAGCATCATCTCCTACCTGCAGAAGAAGGGCTATCCTGAGATTGCTCTTCAATTCGTGCAGGATCCACAAACACGGTTCGAGCTCGCTATCGAATGCGGCAACTTGGAGGTTGCAGTTGAGATGGCTAAGCAGCTTGACCGACCAAAGCTCTGGCAACGGCTGAGCACCGAAGCTCTAGCACACGGCAACCACCAAACCGTAGAGATGACCTACCAGAAGCTGCGCAACTTCGACAAGCTATCCTTCCTGTACCTCACTACCGGAGACCAGGACAAGCTGAAGCGCATGGCTAAGATCGCAGAGCACCGCGGTGACATGACGGCACGGTTCCAGAACGCACTCTACCTGGGCGACGTACAAAATCGGATAGAGATGTTCCAGGAGCTCGATCTGTATCCCCTAGCGTATGCCACTGCCAAGGCACAAGGTCTCGACGAACAGGCACAGTCAATACTGGAAGCTGCCGGTGTATCGGAGGAGCAAATCAACCTTCCCTCAATAGGTGCTCCCTCGGCGCCTGCTAAGCCTATCGTGCCAACTCATAAAGCCAACTGGCCAACACGCGCAGCTTCTTCGACTGTATTTGAAAAGGCCCTCCAAGGCGAAGTCGAAGGCATTGGATCCGAAGAGCCAACAGCGAACGGCTTTGGCGACGAGGATCTTATGGGCGACGCCGAGCCTACTCGTGCGGCTGCTGAACTTGGAGGTGGCGAGGACGACGATATCGGTGGCTGGGACATGGGTGACGATGGCGATGTGGAGGCAGACGACGACTTCGTTGAGGTTGAGGGTGCTGATGCTGGTGCAGGAAGCAGCGAAGCTGATTTCTGGGCACGCAACTCACCTTTGGCGGCGGATCACATTGCTGCAGGATCATTCGATACTGCCATGCAGTTACTAAACCGACAAGTTGGTGCTGTCAACTTTGCTCCTCTCGAGGCGCGCTTCCAGGAGATCTACCAAGCAACCCGAACTTACTTGCCAGCGACACCAAACATGCCTTCGCTGGTCAACTACGTACGGAGAACGGTGGACGAGACGGACTCGCGCAAGATTCTGCCCATCATCCCACGCGATCTGGAGTCGATATTATCTACTGACTTGACCACTGGCAAGCAGTTCTTGCAAAAGAACAAACTGGAGGAGGGTGTTGCAGTCCTCAAGAGCCTGTTACAGCTCATCATGGTCAACGTCGTCTCATCCCAAGCTGAGTTTTCTGATGTAAGTTTCACAGACATACATCCAGCCAACGCATACTAACATTGATGTAGGCTAAGAAGGCAATCAACACGGCCACGCAATACATTCTTGCCATGTCCATCGAATTGGAGCGCCGCAAACTGCTCAACGGCGCTACCGACATCTCCGCCCTCTCTGACGCGGACAAGAAGCGCGCCCTCGAACTCTCTGCCTACTTCACCGTCCCCGACCTCGAGGGTCCCCACAACTCGATCCCTCTCTCAGCAGCCATGATGTTTGCGCACAAGAACAAGCAGCTCAACACGGCGCTGAACTTTGCCAACGCTTTGCTCGACCGCACCGGCAACGCCAAGATGAAGGAGCAAGCTAACCGCGTCAAGACGGTCGCCGAGAGAAACCCCAGCGACGTCATCGAAATTGACTTTGATCAATTCGCCGACTTTGACATTTGCGCTGCTAGCTTCACACCTATCTACAGCGGCATGCCTTCGGTTACCAGCCCATACAGCGGTGCCAAGTACCACGCCAGATACAAGGGCACTGTGTGCAGGATCGACGGCATCACACAGATCGGTGCGCCGGCTAGTGGTTTGAGGTTGGTGGGTTAGATTGGTTGGGAGTGAGAGATCAGGGCTTGGAGAATAGGTAGCATTGCAGGATCATTTGAAAAGGTGTATGCTTAGCGTGTTCATATGCTCTTTTTACGAAGGTCTGGTGTTGCCTGTGAATTAGTTGACGGGACTACGCAGAGAATTGAAAATGGGAGACCAAGAGTAACATGAATGGATGGAATACATGCAGCTTTTATACTTGAACGCACGCGATCAATAATTAATGATGAAGTGTCGTATTGGGCCAGCTGAATTGTCCAACCGTGTGTTACATAACGAGCAAGACATGTGCACGAAACAGGTCTTATAAGCAGGTTATCCTGTGTGCTGTTTTGGTGAAACGTATAATAGTAGATTACATCTCCCGCATATACACGGAAGAAAGATAATAGCATTAAAACGTAAAAGAGGTATCAAGCGTGTTCAACAGCAAAGGAAATCATCCTGTCCTTCCTCGCGAGTTCATCTCATATCATAACGCAGCCCAGTTCTCACAATCTCCGTAACGCCATCCAACCCCATCTCAATCTCCGAGGGGCCTTCTCATCATCTACCGTACAACGCTTAACCCTTTGTCGGCGGCGGGCCCGGTGGCGGCGCATACCCGCCTCCGTATGTTGGCTGCGGACTCTGCAGCTCGACGCCGTTTTGCTGACCGTAGTAGCCCTGGTTTGCGCCTCCGCCGCCGTAGTAACCTCCGTTGTTGTTGTTGGTCGCGGCGGAGTAAGGCGGCGCGGGGTTGTGTTGGTTGTTGTAGTAGGGTGCCGTGGTGTTTTGGCCGTATGCGTTGTTGTTGCCTGGGCGCGCGGCCCAGCCTGTGCCGTAGAAGGGCTGTCGGCCGGCTTTGCGGCGGCGGCGGGCGGTTAGGCAGCTGAGGGGTGTTAGTGGTGTGCTGGGTGGAAGGGGGTTGGGGATGGCGATTGGGGATGGCGATTGGAGAAGGGAAGGGAGGGTTGGTTGGGGAAGGATAGACGGGGGACTTACGAGCATAGTACGAAGAGGAGTAGGAAGCCCAAGACGACGACTACGAGGACGACCCAGCGAACCCAGTTATTCCATGCTGAGTTGCAGCGGTAGTAGCCCCGGCTGTTGCTATAGCACGTCCTGGCCATGGCGTGTTAGAAGCGATGTTCGTGTGTTTGTGTGTCGCGACTCCAATATCTCTCGATCAATTGACAGTAACGCGATGCGCAAGTGTTCTTGGTACAAAAGCGCAAAAAGTGGAGTGGTGAGAGGCGTAGTGTGTTCGAGTGGATGAAGAACAAAATGTGAGAAAGACGAAAGCAGCGTATTATGTCCAAGAAAAACCCGTGGCAAGGGCCACCACAAGGCAGGCCATTCCAGCAGTCACGCAGCATAGATGCCGAGTGATGCGGGCGCCAGGCTGGGCGCAGTGACGTTGTGACGTCGTCTGTCGCAAACACCCGTCTGCACCAACGCGAAGCCAGGACCAAGCCGATCCGGTTGATCCACCAAGCGTGCCTTTTCCCCAGAAAATTCATGGACTAACTGCGCCGCTGCACAGCTAAAGTGTGTCGCACAGCCACTTTGCAGCGAATGATGGACAAGGAGAGATGGAGGATGACGATGATGAGCGCATGGAATCAAACGTACCTGTCGCCATAATCTGGCCCGTAGTACTGTCTCGTACGATAGGGAACATGATGGGGATGCGCGATCTCAAGGTCTACCATGATGGATATTCAAATCTGTGTGTTATAGCGATATGCGACGATTGTTTCAAATGCTGGAAATAATAGAAGTTCAGAAAGATGCGACGGAGATGGGATGGAACGAATCCGCAGGAAGAACAGGGTTCTGGCTGACTGCTTATGACGATATCCGCTCAACACGGACATGATGTGTCTTTGGGCGTTGGTGCTCAGCCACAATTCAGCCAAGAACGCTGCCCGGAGTATGGCTTGGGGCCCGCATTCTAGGCTTTAAACGGGTAAAGCGGAGACGAGAGGGCCAAGCTGGTGACGATTACGATGAGTGCTTTCGGCTCATTGGGTGCGCTGGGAAGGCTTTTGGTACTGCTGATTGTGGGTGAGGAGGCGCAGTGGGGATGGATGATGGGCTATCCGCGTTCTAGCTTGTTCGAGAAGATGAGATGGGAGGATTGTGCGGCAAAATGTCGTGCTGCGCATGTTGTTCGGGTGGTTTTGATTAGTAGGGTAAGACTTTGGAGGGAGTTTAGTCGGCCGACGGTGGTTCTTGAGGATCACGAGAGCTGCTGCGCCTGTTGCTTTCGCAATGTTGTGTCGAGTCTGCGCCAAGGGTACGCAGTTCAGCCTCTTCGTGGTTCCAGTGGTTCCGAGACATTGCCCTTTGCTCGGGTCAGCAGTGCGCATGAGATTTTGCGTTGCGTGGTCGCTCAGCCGTTGACATCGTGAGATGGGTGCATTGCGCGTCTTGTACGGTACTTGTGGGATGTACTCGAGGGTGGTGTGTTCTTTGTATCACCAAGGTTGTCTAACGAGAACCTTTGCGACTTGTGTCTTCTGTGATGATGATGCCGCGTGAGTCTTCCAGACGGAATTGACTACCAACAACCACATTACATCTTGCCGGATGCTTCAACATGTAATGCTTCGCAACGCAATCCTCTCACAATTGGCGTTCCGTGCAAAGTCCCTCACAAACATAACATCAAGTACTGTACCTCAACCCCATCAACCCTAACCCCACCCCACCTGGGCACCCCTCACCCTCAGCGCCACACCCACCGTCCCCAACGCCACAAACCCTCAATCCATACCGTCCCCATCCCCATCGCAACATCCCACCCACTTCCCCGTGCACCCCCTCCAGCTCATCGGCTGCCAATCCATCCTGCCATTCCACTCCCAGCTCTGCGACAAGGGTTCGCATTGCTGTCGCCGCCGTCTGACCAATCAGACGGGCTCTGCTCAAGATTCCCTGGGAGGCGCTAATGCAGGATGAGTTGTTCAATTGTTCATGGCCATGGATTTTGCTTGGGTCCCACCCCGTTTTTCTGCCAGCGGGCGTGAGTTGTGCGAATAATTTAGTTGTTTGTTCTCTTCTTTGCTTTCGGTGCATTGATCCTCTCTACCTTCCCCTCCGGACTTGTTCGTTCTTTTCGTTGCAATGTTTGGCGCGAGGTGCTGCTTCCGCGGCGCTACCATGTACCGGAGTCATTGAGCTGCGTGCAACACGGGATTTGGAAGGCCAGGCCGCTGGAGAGAGGAGTCACCACGAATTTGCGCACGCAATTGCGCTGGAACCCTCGACAAACATTTGTCCAAACGATTTGTCCATACCAAACCAGATGCCGCGCACCTGCACACGACGCATGCGATAGTCACGAGCACGGAGACAGCATTGGGCGACACATGACAGAGACGAGGATACCATTATATCGCTACAACTCAGGTCACTCCTCATGGAGCCGAACAAGAGACGGAGCGCGCGCAACTTTACATGTCAATCATACCTGGACCAAAATCTTCCGTCTTTTCTTAGCCGCTACGTCTTCGCTGGAAATCGAAACAAAGAGGATGATACAGGATGAGGAAGGGGCAGTAGCCGTCATAATGATATGAGAAGAAGTAAATGTGTCGAGCTGGGGAACTGGAATGGCCATCGCTAGCCTGCAGAGCGATCTGCCCGTCTTTTCTTCCATCAAGTCGTAAGAATCATTAAAGATGTCATGTAAAGCTGACGACCGTAATTCGTAAGAACGTAGGCACGTCGGCGTCGTGAAGTTGCGAAAACACCAAACCCAGTCGAATGCGTTGCGAGCGGCACCTGACCGTCGCGGTCACGTTACGTCGACCGAATACGAACAACATAATACCTCACTTGCTGGCTCGGGCAATCAACCACTGGAGAACGGCATCGAGGTTGGTTTCCTCCTTTGCGCTGATGCCGTAGCAGCTCACTTCCCGGTGCGACACTGATTTGAGGTCGAGCGCCTCGATCAGCTCGTCGACGGAAAGCTTGTTGGGCAAGTCGGACTTGTTGCCCAAGACGAGAAGAGGAATGCCCTCTAGTGCAGGCTTCTCCAGTAGGAGCTTCAGTTCCTCGCCAGCGACGGGCAGAGCCTCCTTGTCAGCGGAGTCGACGATGAACCTATGACGATAAGCGACACCCCACCATGACAAGAGAGGAGACGTACACGATAGCGTTCACACCGCGGCAGTACCGCTCCCACATGGAACGGAACCTAGGTTGGCCTCCGAGATCCCAACTGTTGCCGCTGGTCAGCAGGTGCGCCTCGAGGCTAGTAGATTGCGCTGCACCCCGCAAGGCTGGGCTTGGCGCTGCAAGAGCCGGACATGCGTGACCAGGGAGAAGATGGAAGGCACTCACCACTTCAAGGTTACATGACCTTTCTGGACACGCTTCATATTGAAGCCAACCGTCGGGATGGAGCTAGAGCCAGTCAGCGCAGGGCCCGACTACGATGGCGCCCGAGGTTGCGCAAAGCAGTAGCATCGGGACACGGATGAAACAACGTCGCCGCCGGCTTGCGCAACTCGGGACGGATGTAGACCTACTCGACAGTGAACTCTCCTCCCTAGAACGGATGGGTCAGCTCGCATTCATCAAAGTTGATGATGTTGACGCAGGAGGGTCTTTCCGCATCAGGAAGATACTCACCGCCAGAACTCTCAACAGCGAAGTCTTGCCAGCGTTTTGCAACCCGATCATGGTAATGTCCATCTCGGTCGCCCTGAATGGTATCGCAGGTTAGCAGGAGCGCCATGTTATCGTCGCCGGTGAGTTTGCTTTTTCTTGGGCGGAAGCTGAGCAGTTGGGCGAGTATCAAATGGCGCATCAGGCAGCCAGGTGCGCATTGGGGTCAGTAGAAAAGGACAGGTAGACATACCAGAACAGGCGGAGCAGCCAGTCGTAGATGCGGCGGAAGAGGTTCGCCATGGCCGTCGTCAGGGCAGGGGCTGACTCGGTGGAGTTGTCGTCTGGTCGGGAGGAGTGGTGATGTACGGGCGATGGAGGGAAGTCTGGGAACCTTGATCCTTGCTGCGGGGCATGTAGTAGGCGCGATCGCCGTAGTCTTAGCAACAGCAACAGGCAAATGGACAACGTCTCCTGAGATGCGTCGGGGGGCAAAGAGCGCAGGCAATGCCGTGAGGAAGTAGAGAGCAGAGCTGTGCCGCCCTAAGGAAAGCCCGGAGTGGTTCACGCTGCAGCAGAGTGATGGAGCCGCCGCGGCGTGTGACTTTGGCCAGCGCGCTAGCAGGGGTGACCCAACCATGGATCCGACTAGTCTAGTAAAAAAGTTCGAGCGCAGCCTCGCATCTTCACAGTCGCGCTGCAGCTTGCGACCGCGACAACTCACATTCTTTGATATAATATTGCGCATGCCGCTACAGATTGCGCCCTAATCTTACATTCACCGTAATAGCCGCATACGGAATCATGGCGCCTCCCGCACGGGCAGACAGCCCTCAGGAATGGTCGACCAAGGCAAGAGAGCACTTTCGACACAACTATGCCAGGCTAACATATCCAGTTTGATACCCTCAGGCGGCATGACCTGTTCCGCAACCCGCCCAAGGACAAGACGGCATACCCTATGCTCGCGGCTGCCGTCGACCCCCACATCAACTCGTTCAACACCATCTTTACCCGCGGCGGCCAACTTGACCAAGGCATAAAAGACATTGGCACCAAGATCTTTGTCGATGGCGACCCATACGCAGCCCCCGAAGACGCAGGCCAGAGGAACCGTCTCTACCTGCGCATATCAGAGGTCTTCCTCGACAAGCCCGTCCTGCCGCCTTCGAACAAGGTCGCGCTCAAGAACCGCAACATCTATCCCGCCGAGGCCCGCGAACGACATGCTTCATACCGCGGCAAGATGCGCGCACGACTGGAGTGGAGGGTCAACAATGGAGATTGGAACGAGGACGTCGTGGATCTCGGCGGCATACCCGTCATGCTGAGATCGAACCGCTGCCAGCTGGAAGGCATGTCGCCAGCGCAGTTGGTCAAGGCGAAAG